AGTGTAACTACCAGTTAGGCCGCCAATTTTGATTTCACTCCTTTAATTCACACACTGAATCCATTTTTTGGCCACTCCTTTTTTTTCCACACCTAAGGTGTTTTTGATTAGATATCATGACTTTTTGTCAGTACACACCAACAAACCACAGCAAGTAAGACAGTGACACTCAATAGTAACCAACATTAGCTTTAGGATTGCAACCATATTAATAAAAAAATACCTTTACTTTACAGAACCAACTAGATTTTTAAAAATATATGGTAGTAGTTTTTCTAAAACAGTGTTAATAACTTCATTTATAGTAACGCCATGGAATCTAGATTAAAAGTTTCTTGTCATAACCCACTGTATCAAGCATCATTATTTATGTGAATTGCTTAAGCTAATGTTACGTGATGCTAAATGCCCTTTAATTAGAAGAATTTCATAACATTTAGCAAATTTGTGCTTAAAATTTGACAATGAATAATAATCATCTAGTCATAAGATTCTTTTGAAAACTTGAGCTAGAAACTGCTAATCTAGTTTGCTTGGCCTAACCAATACTTATGTATCTACACGTGCTTTCACCCTATAGTTTTGCTGCTCTAACTCAGCCTTGTATAATCTGATTGACAAAAAACTAAAAAATGGTCACCTTTACTCTTAGGTAGTAAAAATTTTAGACTGATAGCTCACATGACTTTTTGCATAAGCATATGCAAAATATTTGGTCAAAATTGACAGTTTTTGTTGAATAACTTTGCATGTGGCTTATATTTATACCAAATCTAATATCTATTTGTAGGTTATAAAATCTATCAGTGTACCAAATTTGAAAGAAATCCGTGAAAGTTAAGTATGTTTTTCTATCAAATAAAGTTTCCATACTTTTGGTGTGTAGAAAAAAAATATAGGAAAAACGTAAATCAAAATTGGTGATTTTATATCTCATGTATTTCTTAATGGATTGCCTTAATTTGGTATGTGAAGTAAGGGTCCAGTAGAGCACATCCACTAAAAATATATGATAGTTTGGATTACCACAGTCTGAGCTACAAAAAGTGGAAAATTGCTAAACTATAACTCCTGTTAATAACACACAGTGTGTCCTGCAGTTGTTGCTCTATCGTGTTTCTTGATCTACATAACTGTTAAATAAATATCTAGAAATGTGAGGATTCTGACAAAATGAAATTGTTTATCAATATGTTATCTATTCTTATATCAAGTTTAGGCCAGAATCGTTCGAGTAAGTACTTGCTTGAAGCATGCAGTAGTAAGAGACTGGGGATTCAGGATCACCGAAATCTTGGATCCTGGAGGGCTGCAAGTGTTAAAAAAACACAAATTCATGGAAATCAATGATAACTGTACATTCTCTGCTTGAAACATTAATCTACAAGTAACTGTTTCAAAATGTTACTCACAACATCTATACCTAAAGAACCAGAAAGATACAAAATATTGCTTAGTTATAAAGTTTCTTACTGTTTCATTTTATGTTAACAATAACTGTTCTCTCTCTCTCTCTGTCCAATCCCAAGGAAACTTAGTTTAAACTTCTTGTCAATTGCTTTATTTTATTGTTCTTTTTATAAGGATTGTCTTGTGTAGTACAAGTTGATACAAAAAAATTCACATGTTTATGGAGTAACAATAAATTATTACAATATTGTACAATTTAGCATTTTTTTTTCAAGGATGTTGTAAACTGTCCCAGTTTTGCCTAGTACTGATAATTATTTATTTTTTCTTATACTGACTTGTATATTATTCTCTTACATTTTCCATGCTCTTGGTGACAAAATCAGTTTAACAAAATGAGATCTTACACCAAATTCTATCCTTGGATTTAATCTCAAAAATAACTGTCTGAAAAATACTATAACTGTAAACAGTGTTTTTAATTTGTAAACAAACGAGGGTCATCAGCATATGATTCCATGCACTTGTTACACCACAACATTATCTGTACTATCACTGGCATCTGTATCCAGGATGAATGGATAATTTTATGTAGAACAAGTTCAGATCACAGACTCAACTAAAGCAGTTCATTCACAGTGGAAATTAGAAGAAATGAGAAGAAAATGTACAGTTATCTTGCAGAAGTTTAACCACAAAACACAACTCGGTTTAATCCTATGTATCCAGGCCTGGCTATTCTGCAACTTCTCGTGGAACAGTATAATTTTTTGTGACTCTCATGTTCAGGATTTGAACCTGGAACTATTCACTCACTAATATTGAGTTTTAACAAAGTACTAGATATATGAGAAGTACTGTATGTTAGATCTGGGTGATTTAATTGATTCCTTACAAGCAGCAATATCACTGACTAGTGTCTTCTAAACTAACTGATTAATCAAAATTAGTTTCCATGTATTTACTCTTTTTGATTATTCTAACTACTCAAGTAATCAAAATATTGTCATTATTTTTGTTTCTTGTTATTGGAGGGGTCTCATAATTTGGGGCTCTTGGGTTTGGTTACCATTGCCAATAAACTTGCTCACCCCGTCTTTGTTATTGTAAAGCTACTAAGGCTATCTGCCACTGTCACTAATTTTGAGGGACTTGAGGGAAGGCAACTGGTTTCCAGCACCCATAGCCAACTCTCTGGCTACTGAAGTGTTATATAAAGTGTAAATTTACTGTTGTTTTTTTGTTTATATTGTGTTATGTTTCTAATTTATAATTGTGTAACTGTATTCTTTAATGTATAAGCAGGAGGGATTGGACTCCCCTACATGTTTTTACTGGAAATAATAACTATTCTATACTGTCGTATGAGCAGGTATGGATCTAGGGGAGGGGGCCAAACCCTTTTACCAACTTTGCTTATAAATTAATAACTATGTTGCTTGTGTTGTATAAGCAGGCACAGATCTAGAGGAGAGGGTCTAGCAGATTCTGATCCCTCCATTTTCCCAAAATTTATACCTATTCTGTAAATGCTATACAAGTAGGCAGGGATCTAAGGGAGGGAGTTCAACACCCCCACCCATGGTTTTTTTTTCAGAAATTAAAAACTACCATTTAATATTGTATAAGTAAGCACAGACATAGGGGAGGGTGTATGAACCTCATCCATTTCTTTCTTTCTGAAGTTAATAAAAACAGTCAAAAATCCTTACACTACCATATGGTATCCAAATGAAACATTAAATGTCAGTATTTTTATCTGTTTGGGCTATTAATTTCCATGAAATTTCCACAAGGTTATCAAAACTAATATAGTTAGTCTACAGCAATCCAGTTAAGACTTCAGACAATAACTGATTAGTTCCAAACTTATACAAGAATATAAACGTCAACTAAATATTACTATATTCTTGTCACATGTTAACAATGTGCCTAGACTTCAGAGATTTGTTTTCATCAAAATTAGTATTGTTTAGGACAACTGCAGCTCTTACAATATAGACTTATCACAGAAAAAAATTTTCATCATGTAGAAGTAAGAATTCTCGTGGGAAAAATTTGTTTCATATTTCTGATGCCTAAAAGAAGTGAAAATGCATGTGGTATGACAGTATAAGTAGCAACTTGTAAAATAAATTGTGAAAACAGGCACCATGTTTACCAATACTATAGTGCTTTTTTTCTAAATATTATTATGAATAATTATAACTATTTAATTATAATCAAGAAACCTTTGATGTTTCTTATTAACTGTTTTTATTATCATATCAATCAAATTACTAGAAGTAAAGATGTAGGCTTTGGAATTGCTGGATTATAACCTTGAATCAGCAAGTTTTTCAAAAATTGCTCCAGTAAAAACACAACTGTATAAATGGGTATCAGTATTTGTATATAAAAATAATAACGTGATATCTAGTAACAACTTCAAAGTGCTTTGGATATGGATAATGGCACCTGCTAAGTAAAAATTTTATAATGCTCTAGGCATGGTTAATGGCACCTGCTAAGTAACAACTTTAAAGTGCTCTGGATATGGATAATGGCACCTGCTAAGTAAAAACTTTAAAATGCTCTGGGTATGGATAATGGCACCTGCTAAGTAACAACTTTAAAGTGCTCTAGGCATGGTTAATGGCACCTGCTAAGTAACAACTTTAAAGTGCTCTGAGTATGGATAATGGCACCTGCTAAGTAACAACTTTAAAGTGTTCTGGGTATGGATAATGGCACCTGCTAAGTAACAACTTTAAAGTGCTTTGGGTATGGATAATGGCACCTGCTAAGTAAAAACTTTAAAATGCTCTACGTTATCAAGGCTTTAATAAAGGGAATTAATGGCAAGGAGTGTAGAACTTAGAAAACCATTTTACATCACAATTAAAGTACTTTTAAGCACCATGTACAAAAACAGCAATTTGAAAGACTTGGATTGACTACTTAAAAATGCACAGACTTCTAAGGTTTTCAAAGACCTGTGTGAACCCTGATAAAAAGTTATTCTAATTTTTATGTTGTTTGACTTCAAATTTAGGCTACTTGAAGAATATCAAAAATGCTAGGTTTTTACTTTGGCTAATAAATAAAATTAGTTATGATTATTCACTTTCCTTGGCTGGTTACAAAGTGTTTGAATAAATGTGTAATAATAGATATAAGACTTAAGATCCCAACATTGTCGTAAACTAGGGGTGCTAGATTCTGGTTAATGTAATAACCACCAACTTTAAAAAATTAAACATATAATTTTTTTAAAATGAAGAAGTGCTATTACTTTCTTTTATAAATAGTTAGTTATATATATATCATAAAAATAGAAAACTCATATCACAGACTAAACTCTTTACTTCTATCAAAGAACATCATCCTTGTCTAATTACTATTTGATATTAATATATGATATTAAATTAAGAACTGTATAGCCCTTCCATATAGTTTAATAATTAAAATTGATACATTCTTTCTCTTTCCTTAAGTCTATTAAAATTGCAAGGTATAAAAACTAACTAATATAATATAAAAATACGTGATGTTATAATTCTATCAGTATAATAACATGCAATGTTAACAACTATTATCTGAAGATATGTGTACTTACCAGATGTACTTTCTGACTCAGAACCAATTTGTTTCAAACCTTGAAATTCCGTTTCTTTCTTCACATTTGCAACACTGTACTTTGAACCATTGAAATCATTATCATCACAATCACTGAACATTGAAATTACCTCATCTTGTTGTAAGTCACCAGGCTGCTCTGTTTTCACTCTCACAAGTATATTCTAAAATCAAATGGCCAAAGGTCAATGAAAGCAACAACTGGTACTATCACTAAAATACGCAAAAGTACCTATACATATAAACCATGATGATATAAAGCTAACATTTCAAAACTAGGAACTTAAATCTGAGAAGTGTTTCCAGTAAGACAGATAATTTATTGACAAAAAATCGGTTTCACTGAGAAACATTAATTAGATCAAAATTTGGCATGTTTTAAAATGTGAGTTAAATAGGAAAGTATAAAAATATTAAATATTCTTACCACAGTGAATACTAACTATTAGGTCATCAAGAAATTAATGTCGTGCTTTGGAATACTTTCATTAACCACCCACTAAAAAATGTACATCATGTAAAATAGTTAAAGAAACAGCCTAAATGTCACGTTAGTGTAGCCTATATAATGTGCAAAGTTTAATATACTCTAATCCCTTATAGTGATGCCTCACGGCAAGACACACATTCGGAATGTAATGCTGTTTGAATACAACAAGGGAAATAACACCTCTGTAGCCACAAATAATATCGAAGAAGTTATTAGAAATGTTTTGAACATTTGCAAGTGTCAACGATGGTTCAGTAAATTTCGTTCAGGTGACTTTAGCCTTAAAAACTGTGATGGCAGGGGCCGACATGCTGGAATTGATACTGATGCTCTGAATATGCTCGTTGAGTCTAACCCACTGCAACATACTCATGAAATGGCCCTGAAATTGCATGTCTCTCATGAAACAATAAGTAAACATTTAAAGAATATTGGAAAACTCCATAAAGAAGGTGTTTGGGTGCCTCACAAACTCTCCAATGATAATCGTTTTCAACGTGTGAACATCTCTTCTGGCGCGTAATGAGCATGAACCATTTTTCGACAGTATTGTCACTGGTAATGAAAGATGAATTCTCTATGAGAATATTAAACGCTAAAAACAATGGCTCAGTCCTAGACAAAAACCACTTCCGACCCCAAAACTTGGACTCCACCCACAGAAAGTGGGACATCAATGGAGTAATTCATTTCGAACTCCTCAATCCACAGTGAACTGTCAATGCAGAGATCTATAGTCAGCAACTGGAACATTTAAATCAAGCCCTTCATCAGAAACACCCTTCACTCATCAATCAGAAAGGTGTTCTTCTTATCCACAACAATACATGTCCACATGTGGCACGTTTGACGCAAAACAAGATTATGGAGTTGAGTTGGGAAGTTCTTCCCCACCCACCATATTTTCCAGATACAGCAACATCAGATTACCATCTTTTTCGTTCCCTGCAATACTATCTTAATGGCAAATGTGGAAGGGAGGACATCGACATGTTTTTTGCTTCAAATACAAGTGATTTCTTTAATCAGGGCATAACAACCTGATTGTAAGATGGAAACGCATCATCGATAAGAATAGAGACTATTTCATTTAATAAATGTTTTGTTTTAACATATAAGTTTTTCAGGTTTTTTTCATCTAAAAAAAAAGAGCAACATTAATTTGTTGATGACCTAACACGTATGTGTGAATACCAGCAATCATCATAAAATTCACACACCACAATATATTTTAATACACAAAACTATTATTAACCAACATAGGTGCATCATTTCAATTTTTTTATAACTCCATTAACTCTTTCCATACAACTGAATCAAAGTTTTTTAAAATTTCATTAACATTTAGTTAAACAACTTTTATTATTAATGTATGTCTAACAACTTAGCAGTAAAATACAATTTATAAATCAGATTTTTATATTTCCTAATTTTAAATTTCTCAATTATAAAAGAAAATATGTAAAAGTTCTTAATCTTCACTTCTTTGTGTCATCTCATGCATCTGCATACTAAATTCTCCTTTACAGATATTATATCCTCCCAAATATGGCTTTCAGAGTATCCAATCAATTAAAAACACCAACTATTGAATATCTTACAAGCACACATCTAAGATTTGAATCTTCTACCTTCTTGATTTGTTGAGATATTAATACTATTGTACAATCCACCAGAGAAACCTCTCCCCAATTTGTCTTTTTATACTCATTGCTAAAAGTAAAAGGAAACATTTGTGAAACGGTTAAAAGTTGAAACTATGAATATAAGAAAACTCAAAATCTCACAAAATTATGCACTCAAAGAAAAAAAAGAAAGATAATATTATTTAAACATTTGTTCAATTATGTGTCAGCTGCTTAGTGTCAGCTAAAAATGTGAAGAATTAAAAATGAGGCGGAATGCTACAAGTTCTTCAAATACCTATAGAATGATAAGTTTCTTTTTTGTGAGTGTAAAACACTTAAAAACACCATTTCAAAGATACTATTAATCTTATTTTGTATTTCACATTTTACTACACACTGATGTTTTCACTACAGTTAGTGTTAGGGTAGAAAAAATAATGGATAAAATATAAAATTTTTATCTAAAACAAACATTTGATAGTTATTTAGAAAGTTCTAGAGATTTTGCAAAAGAAAATAAGAAAACCATAAAATGAAAAAAGTATTATTATTCTTAGCATGAAGATTACCTTTCCCTCAGACTGCTTCAATAAAGACTTCATAAGTTCACAGACAAATTTTAAGTAAAAATAATTCCTTAAAAAATCTGATACTTAGGCTAAATTTACTAAAACATAAAAATATTAAATGGAAATTATCATATGCTGCAGGTTTATGTATGTACATATTTTTAAGAAAGTGAACACTTGATATGGTAAAATGGGATCAAAGAAATAGATTACTTAGGTTTGGAGGTACATTTTGTAAACAATTATCACAATCAGGCACTCTTTAATGTTTTCAAAATATTAACACCACATGAACAGATTATCTCATCAGCTGTAAAAATACAACTCCACTGTACACCACAACTTGGTTAATAGTATTGAACAGATTATCTCATTAGCTGTAAGAATACAACTTCACCATACACCACAACTTGGGCCAAGAGTAAGGAATACCTAACCAGCTGTAAGAATACAACTCCACTGTACACCACAACTTGATTCAACAACATTCACATAAAGACCTTAAAAAATGGCAAATATATTGTATCACATGCATTGATCAGAAAAGAAACTGGCCTAACCATAAAAATACTGACAGAAATGTAAGTTCTCTATTTAATTGTTTGTTTGTTTGTAATTAAGCACAAAGCTACACAATGGGCTATCTGTGCTCTGCCCACCACAGGTATTGAAACCCGGATTCTAGAGTTGTAAGTCTGCAGACATACAGCTGTGTCACTGGGAGGCTCTCCATTTGAAAGAATAACTCTAGAAAAGCTGATCCTAGATGAAATATGAGTTATGGTGGTCATAGTACGACATGTTGATGAGCATGAAGTTTATATGACCATTAAATCTCTGATTACTCCATGAACCAGAGGTGGATATACAAGTTAATTCTAATGATGAAGGCACTATACCATATGATCTTGACTCAGATGGCAGTACAAACTCAACAATTTGTAAAGCGTGAATAAGGAAACACCAGAAGTAGAGTGGTATGCCTATTCTGGTAATCAGCCAAAAAGCCAATATAGATACCCTAACCATTAGAGCTGGGATTTACTATTTGATTTCAAATATAATCCCCAAAAGAGCAACTTTACTTGAAAGATAATGAGTTTTCATTCATGGTAAAATGTCTACTGGATGTCATGGGATAACCAATAAAAATATTTATATAAAGTTTGGACATTTGGTTGATCAGTAGATCAAAGATGAAAGGGCATTACTTTAAGGACTATCACACAATATTTGGTAAAGAGTTGTTTGGCTAATATCTTGCATTAACTCTTTGAACCTGGGTAGGTAAATGTGTGTATGTAAATAACCTTTTTTACAGTTATATTTAACATTTAATTAAACCACTTTACTATCAGTGTATGTCAATATGTTTGGCATCAAAATGTAGCTAATAAATCAAATTTAATTATTATGCAAGTCTTTATTTCTTAATTTCTAAAGGAAATATTTAAATAAATTCTCAGTCTTCATTTCTATGTATCCTGTGACAGTGGTTCACTCTGAGTAGCTCACTTATACATTCTTCCCCTATTTCAGCTTCTGAGTTTCAGTACAAATAACAAGCTTATAGTGTAGATATTGGTGAGACATAATATAATTTTATAGCATTCATCTTGATTCACATATATATAAACTACCACTTTTTATATTCTGTCTTTCAAAATATGTTAATATTCTCTCTGATGTTTGTTATTACATTATTTATAAACCAACAGAAAAAGCAGATTTTAATTTACTGATTTATTTATAATACTAATTCACTCTCATGACAGTTTTTGAATTAGTTGGCCACTGATTCAAAGTTGCTATCACGGAGTTCATCTCAACCAACTAAAGGAGTTATTTTAACTCATTCATAGCTTAGTTAGAAAGCCAGTTAAATTACAATAGTTACAGGACATCATATGCTTTGTGTATGTTATTATTTTGTGTTTTAACTTGAATATTTGAAATAAATAAAAATTCAGTAAAGTTTTAACAACAACCCAAGCAAAAAGTATGGTTAATTTTTATTGACATTTCAAGTATTCTACTGTAAAAAAAACACAAGGCTCACATGTAAGTACTAAATTTAATTTTGTATGAAAATTTTTTATTCATTGTTTTAAAAGTAACTAAAATGTAAGACTCAGAAACTTATTAGAATAAATAAGTAAACATAAAAAAACTTCTCCATGATGTATGCATGAGAGAAGCTCATGGATTACATAATTCAATACTGTAACTTGAGCTAGAATATTTTGCATAAAGCTAAGAAAACCAGCTCTGTACCAGAAGATGAAAGCACTTCCATTACATTTTCAACTGTGAAAATATAAAGAGAGAACAAAATGTGAACTTTGATCATTAAAAAATTTTAAAAATGATAAGGCTCCTGAGCCATATAATATTTCCCTTATGGTTTTGAAGGAGGTTCAGGATTGGATATGTGAGTCACTTGCTACTATTTTTCTAATCCCTTGAATAGTAAGGAGGTGCCAGAAGATTGGAAGTTGACTAATGTAACTCCTCTTTCTATGGAGGTGGTAAAGATACTTCCAGTATTACTTCAGTGGTGGGAAAGCTTTTTGAAAGCCTGATAAAATATGCTTTGCAAAATCTTTTAACAAAGTTTAAAATATTTTGACATTCTTTGAAAAGGTTACTGCTTATTTAGAAGAGAGTAGGTGTGGATTTGATGTATCTAGATTTTCAGAAAACATTTGACAAGGTTCCACACAGAAGACTTGTTAAAAGTTATCTCTATAGATATGGGGGAATTAGTTGACTCACTGGATAGAAAATTTACTGAATAGGAAAAAGCAGAAGGTTGTTATAAATGGAGTTCAGTCAAACTGGATTAATGTCACAAGTGATTTTACTCAGGGCTCAGTGTTCCTTAACCTTACATTACTGGTTGAACTTGTGACTTTTCACAGGGTTAGTTGACTTGGAGTTTTCAATACAGATGTTTGCTATTTAAAGACATGATTCTTGACCACTGTTTATCTTGTTATTGATTTTTCATAAGCATACAAACACCAACCTTCACACTACACTTCAAAATGGAAAACTCTATTCTCCCTACAACTGACCTGTGTAGCCTATGCGAATCACCACAGAGCTGAAAGCTTTGACCTCAGATTTCATTTTATAACACCTTAAAAAACCCCTCCAGCTTCTAGCAGTCTCCAGATTCCCATTATTTTTTCCCCTCATGGGTGCAGCTCATTTTCCAGGGCATCAGCAACTTATGGGGTAAACACTTTATGAATGACCCACCACCCAAGTGTGAAAGTATACATAATATAACTCTAAATTTTTAAGGTGTATTTTAATAAAATTTGGCAAAAGCTTTCAGCAAACATTGTATGTGTTTTATACAAAAAGCAGATTTTTTTAAATAAAGAATTTCAACTAAAGATTTGTCTATGTATTTACAAATCCTTTACCAAGTCAACCCGAGTGAAAGGTAATTTCTATGATAAGAATAAAAATATGTTTTACCTTACAGTTTCATGTCATTTGCATAACCACTAGAACTTCATAAACAAATATCAAATGTTTTTTGGTAAAATGCTATATTTTATCTTGTATTTTCTCTACCTTAATACTAACTAATAAAAATTATAAATATACAGGGAAATGAAAAATTGAAAAATATTAAAAAAATAAATAAACCATACCCTTCTTCTTTTGAAGTGTCATTTGTTGCCAGATCTTCAATTTAATTATTTTCACAATTCCGACAATTACCCTTTTCACATCTGTTTTCTTTTATTGTTTTAATACCAGCCTTTGTATCCACTATGTCCACAAAAAACAATAAATCACAAAGGGATTTTTACATAACAGCTGCTGTTAAATTTCACACAATATTTGTACCCACACAAGGTGCTAGGTTAATTGTTGATACTGAAAAGTTTACATTTTTTTTAGTTATTTTCTTTAAAAAATGTAAAACAATAAATAATATATATATCAGAAATAACAAATTTACCATTTTACATTTGGATTCAGTCCATTTGCACTCACATGCTGTGGTTTAGTAACCTTACTTTTTTCTCACTATGTTGGGTGTCAACAAAAATAATTAATGCAGCTTTAAAAAATTCCTCTGGATGTTCAGGCAAGATTACAAAGTTCACATACATTAAGAAACTATGACAGACTGTTATGGTATGGCTGCTAAAATCAAACAACTGTAATGAGCCTCAGAGAGGAGTATGGAAAAACAGAAAAAGAAGGAAGAGGCTTCCTTTATAAGTTTGACAAATTTATTGATATCTTGGAATATCAAGAAGGTAGAACTTCTCAAGTTCTTGCTTATAATTCCATATAGTTCATATTTCAAATTTTTGGACCCTGTATATATTTTTAAGTTATGTTCAAATTTTCTTCTTGATAAATCCTTATTGACTGAAACATGCAGAAACTGATTTCCAAAGGTATATTCCTACTTGGTCATCTATATGACCCTGCAAATTATTAATTGTGATGGTAAAAACAGTGAATTATATTATGAATTTTGGAGTCTTCTCTTTGGACTGTTTTCCTGATTTTAGCCTTGTTAGCCTGCTGAGCTGAAGAAACATATTTTAATTTGTGCATTTTCAAAATTTAAATGTGCTATGAGTGAAATGTGAGTTATTATACAGTTGTAACTGTGGGTTTCAACTGGACAAAGTTGGTAATGTTGCATCAATGTGTCTCCTTGACAACCAAGCAAACATAATGGGGAATTTCAGCCAATGATTATGATTTTTGTGCACCAGCAATACCAAGTGTGGGGCACATCATGATCTCTACTAACCTACCCTCAAATCTAATTATATGTCGAAAGTAGCACATCATCCATTTTATGTGTACATGGCTGGAAGAATTTTCAAAAGACAAACTTGCTTGTTGCAGCATAAAGCACCATCCTTGAGTTTAAATTGGTACCACAACAGCTGAGATATTGGCATGATTGATGACTTTTTGTCTTTTATGTAGTAGATGTCCTTGATATGATTGAGACATGTACTTTTAGGTGATGCACTAATTTCTGATTTTGATATTCATATCAGAACAGTGGGAAGTTGTCAAATATTCAAAGTGTTTAATAAAACAGATTAAGGAGTTGTGTATGTGTTTGTTAAACATTTGTACCTAAGACAGTGGATTTCTGTGAACCCATATTTATGACCTTCATTACTGGTAACCTGTAAAAATAAGGTAAAAAAACAAAGTAATTGTTGTCTAATTAGCATTGTAACATTTTGTATGCATATAATTTAACTTTCCTCATTTCTGTCTTTAAAAGTGAGTGTTCATCATGCCAAGTCAGTGTTATGAAAACACTCTCAGCTAGCTCTAGATGGTTGCTTACACCATAAGTCTTACTCTTTATAATCAGCTGGAAACCTATGTAAACACAGTTGATATATGGACCCAAAAGCCGGATAATCAAATGACTCTCATATTACAATTACCAACCATATAGAGTCATCTTAATTAACTATTTCACATTAGTTTAAAGTCAATCTATACAGCACTCTTCAATCTACCCAGTCAAAGAGTCAAGGAAGAAAATAATAATAAGTATTTATTTTCCCGCTGTTTGTAGTTGCTATAAGCCATTTTAGCAGATCTTAACACTTCCCTATTGAATTGAATTTTATGGAGCTGAAGCTTGTTAGGATCTGAAAATTTCACCATATCCTTGACAGTTCTTACAGTACTCACAGTGTTCTCTCCAATGGCAATTCTGTCTTTGGTGACAACATTCATATTAACAAACAAATTAATTTCTATGTCTGCATTTTCATGGGACAATTCTAATGTTTTCTTGATAAGGAGAGGTAAAAATCTGTATTTCAAGTTTCCATTGTCAAGCTTTTCCTAAAAGACTTGCCTCCAGAAATGATCCACCCTCTCCATGTCTTTTAAATCAAGTTCTATTTGTTACATTTTCCACTCATCTGTAATATTAGTTATAACATCCTCTTCAAACATTAGATAAAACCTCTACATTTGTGACAGGACCTTGATCAAATCATTTCACTGCTAACAAACAAGCTAATGCTTTGATCAACTTGCTTTCAAAAGGAAGCCTAGTGATCACGTACTTTCATACTGCAGTGTAGAATGACTATATTCCAAGAATTTCTTTGTACTGGGTTTCTATTTTCAACTTAGAAAGTTCCTTCTTCCTTTCCCAAAGACAATGTCTTCATCACTTATCTGATTTTTAATGCCAATATCTAGATTTTTCATGTCTTCTGGTGCTATGCTATTAACAATATCTGCTCTGACAAACCATCTCAGAATGGTGCAAACCAACACTGTCATTCAACTGTGTAGAAGGTGAACCACAGGTTGATGGGTTTGGAACTCTTTGAGAAAATCTCCAGAGGGATAACTGACAACAAAAAAAGAACAATTTGACTTTCATGTTGGGTTGCCTTATTGCTTCCCTTATCCCTTTGAAGTTGATACTCTATGACATTGTCTTTGGATCCCTCTCTAATTTTGAAACATATTCCCTTATTCCTGACAACTGCTCAATGATGTGCCTGAAGGATGGTCCAAGTCTCAGCCAACAGACTTGTGTGTGCTTTATAAAGACTTCCTCTGGAAGGTCAAGATCTATTTATATGTCTTTGTAATCCTCCCTTCTTCCAGAAGAGGTATTGAATAGTCCAAATAAATCTACTGCTAATTGTTCTATTTCCTAATCATATTCTGTTATGTCTTTGCTGAAGACATTGTACATTGTATGAAGATGGCATGTATCTACAACAACAAGACCATTCCATTCTAAATCAGCAGCTATGACTAGCTTGGAAACTTCTCTAAAGATGGTCTTGTTAACATTTGGGCCATCACTACCCAATGCAACAAAGGATTCCAATGGCATACAATCATCCTGTAATGTTTCCACCATACACTTGGCAATAGACTTTCTATCTGCATAAGAGAAACACAATGACTTGTAATATCTACACCAGACTTCATCATGAAGAACAGTACCTTATCAAGACATACATTTGTTTCTTTACCCGTGCTAGAGTTGTTTCATCATATGGGAATGAAAAAGAGGTATTTGAATTTCATACATCATATATCAAAGAAGAAGTGAAAGCTTGACCAAAACCATCTGATAGTATGTAAGATAGCTTTGTTCTGCTCATACTGAAACTGTCCTCTATTTGGTATTTGACATTGCTTTGAAAGTTTCAGGCAATACTGTCACCTGCTCTGAAACATATGTTGGATGAAGCATATACCTTACACACACAAGGTGTCCTCTCTTGGTACAGTGTAAGTAAGAATTGTGGATTTATCTTTTACAGTTAATGGCCCAAATATCTGACAAGAAGGTCCTGCTTTTTCACCTGCAAACTCTGTACTGTCATTCAACTGTATAGCAGGTGAATCACAGATTGATCAGTTTAGAAGTCATTGAGAAAACTTTCAAACAGAGGGATAATTGACAACAAAAAAGAACAATTTGACTTTCATGTCGAGTTGCCTTATTGCTTCCCTTAATCCTTTGAAGTTGATACTCTGTGGTATTGTTTTTGGGTCCTGTACTTTAGAAGGTCATATGCTATGCTGTGTTGTAGCCTACAGAGTGCATATTAATGTTTTCCTATGTTGAAAATGTATTTCCAATAATACTTACTTCACACTTATAGCTATTACTCGACTGCTGGGGTTTCTTCCTTTGCCAATCTAAGCACTGATCTGATTTTTTTTCGCTTGCTCCAGTCTTTTATACCCCACTTAATTGCCCTTACTGATATTGATCTCATGACTCTCTCCACCTATGTCAATGTTCCCTCTATCCTAGTACTGTATATACTTCATTCAGATAATGTTATCATTTTTTCGAGGCTGACTCAATCCCAGTCTCTAACACCAGTTCTTAGCAAGGAGGAATGGCGGGAGAGTATGAGAGGAGGTAAGTATTATTGAAAATACATTTTCAATTTAGGAAAATGTTAACTTCCAAAACATACTTACCTCTTCTCCCACTTATAGCTAGAATTACACATTGAAAAGGTGGAGGGGACGGTGAGGGCATTATCCATACAGAAAGCATCTGCATAGATCATGGGTGTGTCATAAGAAGATTGGCACCGTAGTGAGGGAACTGCACTACATCCAGAACAGATATGCTCTTCACCCAGAATTTAATTCCTGTTGTGTGGATGGAATTTTACCTGATTGATCATCATTATAGGCCAGGCCCCAACCAGATAGCTGAGGTTCCACTACTCAGGGTTGGAATTGATGCCATAGTTTGTATATCCCATGTTGGTGGCTAGGGTAACTAGACTGCAAACTATATATATATACACATATGAGTGGATCCCAACCTGTAGCCATACAGTGATGTGTTCTGAGCCACTGGAATTACAATGAGAAAGTTAGCAACACTGAGGTGGAAAAACCCTCTCCTCAACCTGAAGAAGTCCAAAAGGCAACACCCCAGGCTTGGAATGCTTTACTCAACCTAAGGAAACAGAACTCATTCAGTCTGGAATTATGAACACTTATCCTCACTCCCCAACCATGTGGGCAAAGTAAATTCCACTTGCCCCCAGAATTATGGGGAAGGTGTGGAACAACATGCTCAATCAAGGACACAGGAATTATGAAGAGACAGTGGTCCCTCTTCCATTAACAATGTATTGAACCAATATTGATCAAAACGAAGGACCACACTTAACCCAACCAGATAGCCAAGCCTTAAATCTGTACTGGTATTATGTCTAGGCTCCCGCGTACACTGGTGCTACTCTCACCAACATCTTGGGAAAAAACATCCAGGGATTCGGGTAGGAGGGCCCCCAACTTCACCCTCTTCTCCAAGAATGAGGAAATTCACTCTAACACTCTGAAAGAAAAGCTTCTGTCCATCACCCCAGTGACTGGAATCCAGGTGTAGTAAGGACTCCCTAGCTCCACTAGTAGGATATTGGGGTAATGCACATTGGGGGATCCTAAGAAACAGTGCAATAGGTGAACCCAGTTTCCCAGAGTTTTAAAAGCAAACTAACTCTGATTTATTCACTCCATAGATCAGCAGGGATGGACAGGATCCCCTTATGCTTTACTTACAATAGTCCATGAGTGGTGGTCCAGCACAGTACAGTAATACCACCCAGTCAGCCTTTAGGTGGTCCAATGGAACACCTCATTTCTACAGGGCCTGTTGCAACCTGTATAAAGTATACTGAATTAGTGGTTGCTAGTGTGGAATTAGTTTGATAAAAGCAACCTGCATGGGCAACACTATTCACAGAGTGGGATCCTGTGAAAACAAGGTAAGGGACCCTGAAAGGTAGCAATGAAAATACTCACCCCTCTGTATAATCTTGCAGAAATGGTTCAGATAGCTACAGGGGTTAGGCAAAAACCCTCAGATGAAGAGACTGCCAGATTAGGAAAAATCATATAAGATAAAAGTATTGGGGAAGTCCACATACCAGTCCATGCACTGACTTCCAGCATGCAATTCGTCTGGGCCGCTAAGGACATAGAAATCTGATTAGGCGTGACTTGCAGAAAATTCCTCACCTTCAAAGAGAACACAGAATAAAACGTCATTGTCTAGCATCTCTAAAGGCATTAGTGTAAGCAACAAAACCTTCAAGACCCTCACTGAACAAGACCATGATCAAAATCTGTTCAGACATAGAAATGAAGAAATATTGATCAAATGAATCAGTGAAAAGGATTTAACCCCTTTCCTGTCTGACAATGTCTTGGGTAAGAAGAACTGGTCTGAAGATGTAGAGAGAATGAAAAAATGGTCTGTGGACAAGCAGTGCAAGTCACTCCAACTGGTCAGCAACTATGCAAAATAAACCTTCAGGTAAATGGGATAAATGGCAATCAAGACTGATGACATATTGAATATCTCAGCCCTGAAAATAAAGCCTGCCTTGGTTGTTTCTGAAAATAGAATCAGAATGTGATGTTCTGACAATTAACAAGATGGTGCCAGCAGTAACCAGTCATTCATGGAATAGTTTGTGCAAAGTGCGATGGAATGAAGGTGACAAAAAAAACTTGTATTATATGGCAGAAACCATGTGAAGTCAATGCAAGTCTGAATGTAAAAACCTAGAACTGCAGCACCTGACCCTTGTGCACAACAAATACAGATAGTGATGGGAATCCACCACTATGGCAATGTGCAAATAGGAGCCGATTACAACAAACTTACATCTACAATCACAGTATAAAATGTCAACTCAGATTGAGGAATGAGTAACTTGTGAACCTTGGATAATCTAGGCATTGATATAGATGAGAAAATTTGATGACTGGACACCAATCTCCTATCTCCCTAGTCCCAACAACCAACAGGAATAGAATCTCAGAAGAACTAGCATGACTCTCTCACTTCTCCCAAACCAACCAAACTCTGACAGCCCTAAAACTAAGTTCCAAATCCTGATGATCTGCAGAAGATGGAAACCCTGCAGGTTAGATGGATAATAGAGGTGAAGATGTGAACTGAATAACTAATCCTGACTTAAGGACCTACAGTGCTCCTGGATCCGTGGTTACCACACAATCAGAATTTCTCACAGTTGAGCCCCCACAGACCCTGAAGTTATATAATAATCACCAACACTGCTGGTGATCCAACTGAGCAGCAGAACCCTTGAATATAGACAGAATGTATTCTGTGTACCAATGTACCGAGGGGCTGATGTTGGGAGTTGGGACCCATGAATAGGGGCAGAACTACGACCCCCTGTAGCAGCCAATGAAATTCGAAAAGTGCAGAAATAGTCTTAAATAACCTAATTTTGTAAAAAAATTGCTGCAAAATGTTTACATTAAGTATGCCAATTTTCTTTGAGTATTTATATTTCTTGCTTACCTAATTTCATAAATATAGGAGAATATATGAATTTCTGTAAAATACAGGCAACAATACAAAATATAGGAAAAAATGGGTATTACTGTAAAATATAGAAAAATATAGGAGTACTTGATGCCCTGAACATGCAGTGGATTTCTACTGAAATAATTTTATCAAACTTGAAGTAACTTCCTTCACATTGTCACTACAAAACCTCATCAATGATCATATACAAAGCAAGAGAGGTCCTCTATACAACAAACCCATTTTACCTTAATAAAAATATTATAAATGTTGTTAATCTACAAGTTACCTCAGTCTCCTCTGTTACTTCCCCACAATTTTCTTCTTGTTCATCCTTTGCTACATCAAACTTCAAAATTACATGTGAAGATCTTTCGTCTAAGGAATCAGCTTCTCCTGTAGCTAGAAATATAAATAATGGATATTTGTCTATAACAACAACATTGAATATTATCATTCATCACTATCCCATTATAAAAGTTCACATAATGTAGTAACACATCAAAATGTGGGTGTTTAGAGATGTTCCCTAAACAAGTCCCTCAAATAACCTCTATTTCAAAGTTAATATCTCACATGATGACTTGCCCTCATAAATACCCACTAACTTCAAAGACACAGACATGAGATTGAATGTACAGATGTCTCCTGCCATATGAAAATGTAAAAGTGTTAAAATGTCTAATAAAATTAGCAAGTTAGATGTACTTTCATAATAGTTAAGATATTTGTTTTGTCCACCATATTATTTTTAAGACTGAGCATATATGAAACTTGTACATTAATCATCTCTCAAAAACATAATGATATAAATATGATATAAGGTCATTAAAGCTGTTCTGGTTGATTATTTTTAATTTCAAAACAACATCACACAAACTCTTAGGTTTTTAATATGTAAACTATTGTTCAGTCCTATAGTTATAATATTTGAGTGACAAACATGTATAACTAATAACAAATTATAAAGTCAAGATACAGTATACTTACAATGTAGTCTTAAATGTATGTAAATTAATGAAATCAAACGTTTTTGCCTCAACATGTCTTTCATCTTATAAAGAGAATACTTATGTGTGGTAACTCTGCTTATTTGTTGTTGACTTGTACTTAACTGACCTTGAGTTATCTTTCCTAACAAAACTTGGTAAGCAGAACTATAACAAACCTTCACACATTAGTCATACTCGAAAATATAGTGATAATATTGTTTCTCAAATTTTGTAGGTTGTCTTCAGACTGCCAAGTTTATTTCTCCAAACATTATACACTAGATGTACTTGTGCAGGGTCCCTGAAAGTGTTCGGTTTCAAGAGTAAATAAAAACAAAATTAAGAGTAACAAATACTTTTATTTCTTGCTTTTGAAGTTCATATGTCATACTGTGTTGCAGCCTATAGAGTGCATAATTCTTCTTGTGATTCACAGCACACACACACATTTTACTGTTGTCATGACAGGACAAACTGCAATGTTAAGCATCCCTTATGTAATGTAATTTTAGTGTCTATTGACTGACAGACAACACACTACTGAAAAGTGGTGTGAGTGGTTAAAACAGATGACCCCTCCAGGTGGCCTTTGGCTCCCTTTCAGGGAGACAAAATTCAATAATTTATTAAATGAACAGAAAGTAATACAATTCACAATGGAAATAGAACCTAACCCACTTGTAAAAAAATACAATAAGAAAAACACTAAATTCTCCTGTGAATGTCTATTCAGGAGCACAACAAACACATATACACTAGGCTTTGTATTACTGATCCGCAATAGCTCATCATGCTAAAGAAGACCATACAATAAAGTGAAATAATATTACCAAATATATATATATAAATTACAAATGAGAAAAAGGAACAAACTTTCTACATCAACCTAACTGATAATATACTCTCTCAACCTAGCATACAAGTCAGCAAAACTTAGAGGTTCAACTTGAAAACATTCAAAGTTAGTTAATTAAAATTCTAATGAAAGAAACCATAAATTAGTAGATAATTCACCAGCCTCTCTATTATAATGACCATGAATCAAATCCTGGCTATAACCACCACAGAAATAGTCCATCTTATGATTTATCTGAAAAACAACTGCAGATTAGCAAATGAAATGTATAGAAACTATTTAATAATTAGTAATTGATAATAAAAGCTGTTAAAAAAAATCTAAATAACTAATATTAGCATTAATAACCTTGAGAACAATCAACTTTTCTCTTAACCCTTTCCAGACGGGTCATGGTTGAAAGACCATGTCATCGCATTTGTTTACTCGTATTCAAGATTTTATTGAACTACTATTTCATGAATTTATGTCAATAAGTTTGGTATCAAACTGTAGATTATAATTCACATTTTAGTATTATACCTTACTCAATTTCTTAATTAAAAAGTACATATTAAAAAAAACACAGATAAACATCGATTTTTGTGTGTCACGTGGTATGTTGAATGCAGTTCTTGTTCAAATTAGATGTTTGTGATATCAAAATACTAAGTCTATTGTTTTGTACAAATTAGAAACTCAAATAAGAATATTGACAAGCTATGATATAAAATAAGAGCCTCTTCAATTTGCTAAGATATTGCTCATGTTATAAATCAAACATTGTGGCACCCCACCCAACTCTTTCCAGTTTTGGAAATGCTCCCTTATATACACTTACTTCTACGTATGACATGAATAACCAATCAAAAGCTCAGAATATCCCCCTAATGGCTTTCTCAGCCATTTCAACGTCTTTGGATGCCATCTCTTTCTTTCAAACTAAGATTTGAAGGAGGTAGGTTGTGTCTTTAGTCTGCTCGAAATTTCATTATTTTGGACTGAAATACAGCTTAGTTACTAAGCTTGTTAAATTATAGTGGAATTCTATGGTATTGATATAGTAATATATGATTTTTAGGTTATCCAACTGTATATATAAAACCTAAAAAAATTATTTCGTTTCATATCCTCCACGTGCAAAACTTTAAAAGGCTTAGCAATCTACATCAAACAGCAACAGAGTACGAAGGTCATAACTAGAAGAGATAATTGTTTGCTTTACTTCTTTATTTACTGTTCTTTGTTTTAATACAAATAAGTTTAAGAATGTATTTCTAAATAGTAATAATCTATATACATATATAATGTATAATAATTGAAATGTAACTGTATTTTACAAAATGCTAGTCTACTAAAACACAGTCAAGACAAGTTACTTTGTACAGACCAAAGGTCACCTTTATGTCATTTGATACAGTAACATGAGTGCACGTGAGCCGTTTCATTGTAACTTCTGTATTGTTAGCCTGGCAGGGCTGAAAGGTCAATATAATAAAAATAATAAATATATATGTTATGAGATTTAAGCTATTTAGTCCAAACATTTATGTTTTGTGCTATAATTTGTGGTAATTCTAGAATGAAAATAGCATAATTCATATTTATTTCCTAATTTTTTTAACATGGTTACGATATTGGTCAAATCAACAAAACCCATACAGAGATTCCTTACTGAAAATTACATATAGAATATAAAGTTTTTTTCTAAAGAAACGTTTGATATCTATCTGAACATTATAAAGATTTTGCACGGGAAATTTGAAAATTTTCTGATGCACAAAAGTATTTTTTAATCTTAAAATGAAAATTACTTTACATGTTGGATAGGCAACATGCATAAAAAAAAGGTTTTTATTAAGTCTTAAGGTTTGTAAAGCAATGTTTTTCTCATGTAATTGATATTTTGTGTATGAGAGCATTGTAATGTTTACTGATAATGTGACAAATTTTGTTAACATTCACTTACCAATTTAAATGCTATAGCATGAAAACTATAACAAGCACAAAATGGTTATGAGGTCGGTCACAAGAACAAGCCTGTGCTGAAAAGATTTAATTTTAAGAGAAAACGGACTCAAAATGGCATTCAATCACTCCAGTGTTTTCACATTTGAAGAGACAGTTGAAGTTGTCCAAACTACTTATGATTCCGGCTCTGAAACTGAATTATCTGACAATAATTTTGAGCCTGATTTTGACTGAAAAAAGTACATGCCTAAAGGGTTAAGTAACATTTGAGAGCAAAAACTTGCTAAACTGACAGGTTGTTTGTTTTAAGTACTGTTTGGTACCACAAAAATTACTATACATACAGGTCATTTCAGATCTTAATTCTTGCTTGTAGCTGAGTTAGAGATGTAGTTTTTTTGCTGTAAGTATAAGTAATGAGGTTTAATAAATATAAATAGGAACTAGTTCTAGCTTGTGCTTTAGTCAAAAAGAAGTTTTACTTACCAGTTTTATCTGGTAATTTGCAGCATCCATGTACCATGAAATAAATAAATAAATAATTACTGAATTGAAGATAGTATAAATATTCATAGCTTCCAAACTTTAAAAAAGACAGGTAACTTATGTAATTCTAGGTATATGTTTTTTAATATCTTTTTCTTAATTAATTATGTAATAATTGCTATATTATATAGGTTAAACATTAGTTTACAAAGCTATTTATAGACTTTGGTGTGGGGGTGATTAGTCATGAAATTAAAATCTGTCTGTCTATCAGGGAAAAGGATCTTCCCTGGAAATACAGAATTTATTGTTTTTTTTGGAATTTTAGACTGAAATCTGAGATATAAATGAAAATTCGGTGAAAGCATTATGTGATAATGTTACATGTATGCAGAATTGATTATTTCTTTAACCTAAATCCCTCGGTGTGATAAAATTTGTGAGGAAGGAGTTATACTCTTTCCTTGTTAAATTGTTTTGACTTAGACTCAATAGAAAATTGTTTAAAAGCACACATAATTTGTTAAAATTATTAGTGTGTGCTGTATTGGTAGAATGTGTGTTTTGTTACTAAACTGTCAATAAGCTATCGTATTCTCTCGTTATAAAAGTATGTAATATGCCCCATAACTTGAACCTATGAAAACAAATTTAATAAGATTTAACAACTTTTTTTTCTTCATTTGTACACACAATGTTTACAACCTGTGTTATAAAAAATATAATCTTCAGTTAATTTCTTAATTTGTAGAGAACTTTACTGCCAGGAAGTGCTGCTCAGTTAGTTAACGGAGTTTTGGGTTCAGGAAGTGGAGTAAGGCATGCTGGCCCTGCAGCACATCTTTCTCCAGTTCAGCACGTGGGGCAACCTTTTTATCTGGCTACTAACTCTCAGGCTGATCTGTATAGGTAAGTTATAGTAAGAAGAGGCTAGAAACAGAACTTGTAATGTTTTATCAAAGACTCAAGCGTTTACGAAGTGAAATCTTTTAGTGCGAGCTCAGGCGATTTGACCGACCACGTGACGTCTTTGTACTCGTTTAAAGTCTTTATAGTTTTGATACTACAAACTTTTATTATAATATGTATGTCTTCACAAAATTTAGCAGACTTTTTATTGAAGTGTTTTTAATATACTAAAAAAAGATTTGTCTGTGAATATATTGCATTTTTCTTTACTAGTCTGCATACAAACATAATTTTCATGTTATGATTAAAAATACTTTCATTCGTCTCAAAAATCTCAAATTTCATTTGCATAATATCTAAAACCTCCTATATACATTTCAGATGTCTGTTTTCAGTAAAACTTTATATCTTATCTATTATTTTATCTACCCTAACTCTATACAAGGTGGGTCAATTTGACTGACCTTGTAACCAACAAAAAAAATCGAATCAAATTGTAACATGAAACTGCATTTGTTTATCATAAGTAGCTTTAAACTCGTAACAGTATACATCTATTTACACTTAAATTTTATTGTTTTATTGCCCTTTGAACCACATCTAACTACTACTATTCATGCCATTATAAGTTGTAAATCACGTGGGGAACATGGAACTCACTATTGAATTACATTACCCATGAGCTGTTTGCGTGCATGCCTTTTGAAACATTTTTATTATGTTATTATCATTATTAATTTTACCTAATCTAACCTTAACTAACCTAAAGAGATCACTATTTTATAAAGAATAAACATAAAAAACAAGAAATAAAGTACTTACCCAGGTCTGTTCTTGTTTTCTCTCTCTCATTTTTTTTTTTTTTCTGTTAGCTGTCGATGACACTTAACCCTACTTTTTTTTATACTAATGGTAGTAATGCACTAAATAATTCTTACGTTAATTAAATGATGTACCAAAGAACATACAAAAAGCAGAGAATTTCTCCTAACTATCGCAATTTTTCTGACTTTCTAACTATGTGACAAGAGCCGTTACAAATTCATCCAAGTTAGTCGTTATCTTTCCCATGGGAACGAAGCTTGTAATAACAGAGAAAGTGACAATTCTCTGTTCATAAAACAACGTAATATAATACATAATTTGACAGATGAAAACCTTGGCTTTTTATTGGTCATACATAATATAGTATTAAGAGTAAGAGAGAACTATTAACAAATCCTGAAAGAGAGGATGTCTTTTCTATTTTATTTGCCAACCATTCAATAAGTATGAAATTTAATTACGGTTTGTCTAAGCAATGATGATTTTATAATGAGTAATTTATATTACTAGTTATAAAACAGTCATTGCTCAGACAAACCATAATTTTTATAGCCTTCAATCTTGTTTGGTTACAGAGCTATCAAATAGAAAATCACACACACCCACCTGTCAGAGGATGCCTAGAGAAAATGTCACATTTCTCACACCAGAGTAAATTCAGGATTTATTAAAAATACTGCCTTATAAAATTCAGAACTTAAAACTTATACTATTAAAATATGGATTATTACTAATTGGTATAACAAACAAAAAGTAGTTTAATTAAATTTTGAATGCAAGTCACTAAAACTTCATGACATGCACAGTAAAGTATGCCTGTGCAGAAAGAGTTAAGTGGATGATTACAAGACACAATTAAAAATTAAGTTTATTTAAAAACTTATGTTTCTGTATTAACCCTTTTGCTATGAGTAGGTTAAAGTGTGCAGAGTTACATTAAAAATGTAATTAATCTACTTTGTTATCAATATGTATCAATAAACTTGGCATTAAGACAAGACATTAATCATAGTTTAGAGATCAAATTTTAATATTATGTATGTTTTAATTTCTTATTTTTAAAAGTGTATGTGTGTGTGTGTGTGTGTGTGTGTATATATCACAATAAATAAATGGTAAACTTTATTGCATGACACTTTTTCAGACCAAACTATTTATGTGAATATATTTTGCTACCACTCCAAGGCGTTTTTACTTTCTGTGGAATTTCTCACACTATACATATCCCACACATAAACTGTCAACTTGTAGGAAAAAAAATCTTTTCACTTTATGGAGATGTAAGCAATAAAGTGAAGGCCACATATCCAACACAGCATCATACTGAAAGATTACCCAATTTTGTGAAGATATACATACCATATTAAAAGTTATAGTATGGAGTGCTTGGTGGTTACAGGGTCAGTGTAATCCACCAACCCCCATATGGATAAAAACTAATAAAAAAAATCGTAACTAAATGTTTCGTATGGTTGATAAAAATAAATACCTCAATTCAGTAATACTTACATTTTTGGTCATTAGTTTCAAACATAAATTAGGAAAAATGTCTTTTATAGAAAGTTTTTATGCCTTGTAGATTAGTTCAAAATTCTGGATATAAGCTGATAGACAAATTACATAATGTAATACATCCATGATAACTGAAGATAGAAAAGTTTGTCATCACAAAAATGTTGATTTACATTCATTTCTGAATATAAAAATATCATCTTCTGTAAAATTAAAACTGTCTTAAATTACCTGTAGTTACTGTATCATTATGAAAAGTGTAACTTGTGTTTTGTGATTAAAGAGGAAGCTCCCTGGAAAATTCATTTGTTTGTTTATTTTGTAGTTAAATTTTTTGTTAATACTCAGACTATCCAATGTACATTTTGAACTGTGAACTAGAAAAAGATTTAATTGTGAATCCCCAAATGATTTGCACTTTTCATTTAAATTATAAGATATATCCTAAACTTTAACTTAGAATTGTTTTGAAGCCAACATTTCATATAAATAGTTGCTTTAATCTTAAATACAAAAACACAATGCTCTTATATCATCTATAAATTTACATGCCCAAGGTTTAACCATAGCAATGTGACTTCTATAGTTTGTTTTTTAAGTTCAAACATTAAAGACCAAAGTAACTTTGTGGATTGAAAAAAGTTTTGTCCGGAATTGGAATATCACTAATTCTGCTTCGGTTTTAGTACTGAAGTGATAATTAGAAAAGGAGGTATATGGCTATTAAATATTGGTGATCTTGGTCACCTGCCAATAGCTTTTGATAAATGCCCACAAGATTTTAAATTGTACAGTAGTTTTTTTAGTACAGTAATGTTTTACAGCTTTTATTTTGTAACAGCATGATTTTTTTTTCTTAGGCTTTTGAGTTCAAGTAAAGAATTTATTGTAAGTATATTTTGTACTACATTATTGTAAGGAAGAGCTAACAGAACTGATTTATACTACAGAGAGTATTGTCGACCAACCGTGTATGTGACATCCAGCCTGACTCAGCCTGCATATATTCCGACTACCACACAACAGAAATATGTTCTTGCCCCAGGAGCTGGGGGACCATTCCCTGCAAACCAACTTCCCGTTCCTCCTCCGGCTCACCATCACGCTTCTAACCGGTCTGTCATGGCTGCTGCAGTTCCCTATGCTGCTGCTCATCCCCTGCCTGCTCACTTGCAACCAGCCACTGCTGCCCCTGCTGTGCTTCCAAGCTCTTCCATATCTCTCACGTCGTTTCCGGCTGCTGCCCAACCACCACCTCCGTATGGCTACGGCGTCAATCCTCTGAGCCCAGGAAAGTCCCAGTATCAGCACTTGTATCAGATGTTTGGAGAGTAGAAGACTGTTACTGTTAAGTGACAAAAGCTGTTTAGATTGTCACGTGAATCATATCTGTACACTGATTTGAGCTTTGTTTATTGAACTATTTTTGATTTGATGAATAAACAAAGAAAATGCTAGAATTTATATTTAGGAAAGCTTAATGTTCAGAAATGGATTATTTTATCTTTGTATGCATGTGTGAATACACCAGTGAAGTTATATCTGATGCTACTAGCATCATATAGTGGGTAAAATATATAGTCTGTTGTTAAGAAAATTGATTATACAACATTCAATAAGTTTAGCTTTTTTAAATTATTGTACTATTCGACGAGGCTTACACAAGTTGCAACTGTGGTAGTTATAGTAACTTTTTGTAAGATGGCCATGTGTTTGGTGGAATTTACACTAAAATTAATTTTTTGTTTGGTCGTTTTCTTCCATTCTTGTAAATTTTGGAAATAGAAAGCAGAGCAACAAGTGTCAATTTATTTAACATAAAGAATGTGTATTAAAAACAACGTTAAGTATGATAATTCATAAAATGTGAATGTATGCGATTAAATCTTTGAGTTTTCAACTTAAAATGTAAAATGATACATTTAATTATTATACAGATTTTGAAATCTGATAACAAACTTATTTTTAAATAAAAATTAAACAGATTCTTTTCTTAGTTATCAGTTGTAGGTAGTTGAATACTTTCTGTGCAAAATCTGTTCATGAATTTTTTTACAAAATTGAAATACAAGTTTGTTGAGGATTATTTGCTTTTACAATTTATATATCTTGCTAGGTATATTTTGTGCTCGTGTAAATGTATATATATTTTTATTAGCGGTGGAATTTGGTGAAGAATAAAAATAATGTATAGCAGTTTTTAATTACTGCGGTACTGGTATGTTTATAGTTCTTGTTGAAGTAAATGCTAAATTAATGTGGGTAGTGCGTGTACAACATATATATATTTTATTGTGTAACTTACACTGAAGAATCAGATATCAAAAGAGTGCTTGCTCTCAGCATTCCTAAAATGTCTTATTGCTTCTCATTTATAATTATATCTACACCATATGATATATATTCTAATTTCTGTAATGTTATATTGTGTGTTTTTCTGTGGTATACTAGTTAATGTTGTTATTTCTATTACACTAGGCTTCTTTGATTTTATTGTTGAAAGTTGGGTTCATACCGGCAATTTTTTTGTTGATGTAGTATGCTTTTTTTTTTT